ATCAATAAATTCACAGTTAATGGTATATTTAAAATAAAAATTGGCTGTAGGATCTTTATTTACTCTATCAGTCCCGGTGGTTAGTGACAGTACAAGGCATTTAAAGCTTTCAAACGAACCCTTACGCTACTCATGCCCAGTTTCTGAGGTACTTTTAAAGGTAGTTTATCAATTCGATGGTGCTATTGGTTCAATAACTCTTAGAATCGCGTTTCTGAACAATGCCACGTCAGTTAAACTCAACTGACCATTTAATAAGGTTAACTTAACTGACCACTTGTGCCGTTTATCGGTTCCATAACTTTAGTTGATGTTTTGAACATGATAATTTCATGCAATTTTTAAGTTGTTATTATAACGTGGTGAATTTTAACGATGCGTTATAGCTAAATTTAACTCGAAAAAACAATGAATGGAGTAATGAAGTATATTTCTAGTAATACCTAGAAACTTTAGGCAAAGGAGAAACCCTTTTGAAATGTTTAGTGATGAAGAGTTCACGTTAAGATATCGCTTTAACAGGAGGACTGAGATGCATGTCAGTGAAATCATCAGCCCTACTCTAGTGCCTATTTCGCATCACAAATACACATTGTCTGTTTTGAAACAAATCTTTATCACATTACGATCTTATGCCACAGGTACGTTCCATATTGTAATTTGTGATGACATAAACAGTTTCCTAAATGTCATTGGTTGTGTGGATCACAGATACATACCTATTCAGTCGCCTGGAGGTAAATAAGCAGAATTGTTTAGAAACAGAAATGGTTTTTTTTCGTATTAATGTACTAGTCGTTTATGATGCAAAATTATATATTCGTGACATTGATGCTCGACAGCATGGATCACTGTGACAGCACTGTGTATCACAACTCATTTCTGTGAGCGCGCTTGGATAGTAATGAGATAGATGGTCACCTGCTGGGAGATAGCGCTTATCCTTGTGGGAAGTATATGATGACTACATTTTGAAATCCTGTCACTAATGCAGAAAAGCTCTACAATTAAGCATAAATTAAAACCCGAAATACGGTTGAAAGAACATTTGGTGTGTGGAAAAGAATATTCCCATTTCTTTTACAGAAATTAAAGTTCAAATTAGATAAATATAATAGTTGCAACAGCTGTGTTGCATAATATAGCTCATCAACAAAATTATTCAATAAATATTGAATCGCATTCTGAATCTGAAGCTGCTGAAGAGATTCTACAAACGATGCATTTACCTACTACCTCTGCTGGTAACAACTATCGTCAGTCATTGTTGGAACAATATTTTAGGTAGGTATTTTCATCAGAAAACAAATAAAAGACAATAACTGGAATATATATGCATATTATAAATTAAATTTTTACTTTTTAAATTCTAATTCTATTGGTGCAATGATGCTGGTGATATTAGGCGTTTAAGACAAACACGAGTTCATCACAGATATATTGGACCTGGATGGGAATCTTACCCAAAACCTCTAGCCATCATGCCATCGGGACTGTTTAATAGTTAATTAGTGAAAATGAAATGAAATAAACTTATTGATTTCTTAGTATGGTGTTGATGAATCAAAGTCATTAGTTAGTGAGCAATGTAAGACTTTAAATTTTATGACATATACCTATTAACGTAATTTTACTAGTTTCATATTATAGACTTTTTTATTTACTTAATTAATATCAATTATATTACCTCATTGCAGAATTTCGCAAATCTTAATGACTTCGTCATAGGTTACTCACGCCCTTTCTCGTCGAAAATGGCGCTAGAATGCATCTTAAGCATAAGGTGCAATTTGCCCACTTCAGTTACGCTCAGGCACTCGAGTGGCATTCATGCAGAAGTGCTCCGTAGACAAGTGTGAAAATAATATACTTTCGGTATTAATAAGACCCATGATGACATCATCATATTTTCAGTAAGTGATTACTTAACACTCCATCAAGCGCGCGGGGCACAGGTGTGCCCTAGCTAAAATTTTTGTTGAATATCTCAATATTATTTATACCTATCACTTCAATCGTCGCCGTAGCTGCTCAATGTAAGTTTGTGCATGGCCCAGCTAGACGCCGACCGCATCAGCACACGGAGCTCTCCAGTATAAAGAATTTATTTCTTATGGGGCACGCCTGTGCCCCGCGCGTGAGTTAGTGTAACTATGTCAAAGGTAAATACTTTTATCTTTTTTATCACATTTCAAGGCAATTTTTTATTTTAAATTGTATTTTTTTATACCAATTATATTATTTATTGTAATAACATGAAAATATTTATTTATTTTCCAGAAAATGAGCAGAGAAGAACAAATAATAAACTGGCTACAGGAAACTGACGACGAAGAGGAAGAAGAATTAAAAAGTAGCGAAGATGAAGAAGATCAGTGTCAAGAAGTGGTGCATATGTCCTATTCGGAGCAAGAGGAAGATGAAGTAGGTGCAACAAGTCTATTAGCTGGCGATGCTGATTTAGGCGCTCAAGGCACTGTTGATAGTTCGGACGAGGATTGTCCACTTTCAAACTTGCAATACTATACAGCAAAGTCAGGTATGCAATGGAAAAAAGTTACAACGAAAGCGTAAAACATCTCAGTCTTGCTACTGAAGATTAATAGTTATAAGTTATTTAAGATTATACGATTCTTAATTTTTTTTTTCATACCAGAAGAGTTCCTGTATTAAGTTACTATAATCATAGGAAAAAAGTTTTAATTTTGTTTTTAAATTGAAGTGGAATAAAGGCTGATTATACGACTATATATTTTTGTTTTATTTCTTATTTTGAAATATAAAAAATCATATTTTATGTTGGGGCACTCCTGTGCCCCGCGCGTGTAACAGTGTTATAATTGAGTGCGCGAGTAAAGGAGTGTTAATATACATTCATAGTGCAATATCAATGTCAAAATAATAGTAATAGCGAGTATTTATATTGGTACCAATTCTGTTATAAACAAATCTGTGGTTGTCTTTGGGCAAAAAGTTCCTCCTCCCGTCTTGTTTCTTTTGCTAATCTATCAACTATCTCATTGCCACCTATACCGCAATCACTTGGGATCAACAAAACACTTATAAAGTAATTTTCTTATTTCAGAAATAACACGATAATATGTTTTCATTCGAAAGGAAAATTTACCAACAGCCTGACGAGTGCTCATTGAGTCACAGAATACAATTGTTTTCTTAAGCTTGATAATAATATCATATTCCAGGGCCTTTAAAAGTCCATAACATTCACCTGTGAAAACTGAGGATTCGGGTGGAAGTTTAATTTTTAGAACAATATTGTATTGTGAATGATAAACACCTGTGCCTATATTGCTAGATTTATTGTTTTTTGATTCAACAAAAAAATATGATGATGATCAAAAAATTCACAGTTTATGGTATATTTAAAATAAAAGTTGGCTGTAGGATCTTTATTTACTGTATCAGTCCCGGTGGTTAGTGACAGTACAACGCATTTAAAGCTTTCAAACGAACGCTCAGGTACTCGAGTGGCATTCATGCAGAAGTGCTCCGTAGACAAGTGTGAAAATAATATACTTTCGGTATTAATAAGACCCATGATGACATCATCATATTTTCAGTAAGTGATTACTTAATATACATTCATAGTGCAATATCAATGTCAAAATAATAGTAATAGCGAGTGATATTGGTACCAATTCTGTTATAAACAAATCTGTGGTTGTCTTTGGGCAAAAAGTTCCTCCTCCCGTCTTGTACATTTCAGACTGAAATTATGATAACAAATTAATAGGCTTTTCTAAAGCATAAACTATGAATACCTTTAATACCTATTTCTATGTTGTGATAATAAACTGAGCATATATATATATTTATTTATTTAATCTTATTTGCCTAAAGAAATAGACAAATGGCGGACTTAATGCCAAAGAGGCGACAGAAATAACAAATGTTAATATGTACATTACACTATTGTTGGGATATCATATCAACATAAGAACAACAAAACGTTATACTGTGGACAGAAAATCCAAGTGGTGGCACCGGATTTATTTCCGCTTCCTTGATTGCTGTGTTATTAATGCTTTCTTTAATTATAAAGAACTCAGACGAAAGAATTCAGACGAAGAGTTTACCAGCGGTTCAAAGACCCGATTCAGTGAAGAGCAACCATAGCTCCAACGCCTCTTCTCCAGGCCCTGCCTTACTAAAACGACACAGGGCTACAGTTCCTGAGGAAATTCGGTTGGAATGCAGTCGCCATCAACCTGAGAGAACCGTTTTGGAGCGACTGTTCCTTTTTAAAGTCCATCTATTCGATGACTTTAAAAAGGAACAGGAACATCCCTGATTCGGAACAAACTGTAACATAGCTACCTGTCGGAGGGACAAATCCCCTTGGGTCGTCGGTGGCTCGCTCATAAAAAGAATAAGAAAACTTACCTAATATCAGCAGCTAAGCATCAATTCTAATACATACACAAATATATAAATGTAATGTTATTATATGCAAATAATAAAAACACGCCTTACAATTTTAACCTTTTTTCGCACTGTTCTATTCCTTAAGCTTATCTATATTACAACATATACTGTACTGTACTGCCGTAATAATGGCGGATTTACGAACATACAATCAACAGTTCGCTACTGAATTCATTGAATTATATAAATCTCTGTCCGCACTATGGTAGATCAAAGCCAAGGATTATTCTGACAGGAATAAAAAGAATGACGCATACCCGCTACAATGTCGTGTCAAGTACCACTTGACATCGATTTTGTACTCCAAAATGTCCGTGTCAACTACCAGTTGACATGTGTGACCATCCTCCACACTTCTATATTTTATGGACACCTCTATCTATAGCATTTGGCTATGAAAACTGTCTATGAATGTATTTTTGTTATTTGGTTGGTGATATACGCATGAAAAATTTTTTTTACTGACCTCAAAAAAAGGAGTTCCCAGTTTGACTCAGATTTTTTTGACTTTGTATGTTTTTATTTTATTACTTACATGTAATGCATGTAGCAAAATGCCACGAGGTAATAGAGCTGGTGGAAGAGGCGGTCAGGGAGCTGCTCGGGGCCGAGTTACAAAGCATAAGCCACGCCGTGCACGATCTTTGTCTTTTGCTACGTAAGCTTGCCTACTAACTAATCTTTATTTATTTTTTTAGTCTTGTAACTTAAGAGTTTCATTAATTTTATTACCATGTTTAGTTTTGCGATTAGGAACGCTAAGGAGCCTACTCCAGGCTCAAGCGTCGAGCCTACTCCAGGCCCAAGCGACGAGCCTACTCCAGGCCCTAGCGCGAAGCCTACTCCAGGCCCAAGCGTCGAGCCTACTCCAGGCCCAAGTGTGGAACGACCGCGGTAAAATCAACATAATTTCCCTTTATTATATCGAACTATTCAAGCGGCATTCATTTATTTATTCGTTATCTGTTTCAGTTTAAAGTCCTTGTTAGAACAGTTGAAGGTGAAAGTAGCGAGGGCTTTAGATGCCAAAAATCTTAACACAACATTCGCCTGGTATCTGACTCTAAATATTTGTAATATCTTATATTATTTTTTATCTAGTGTTTATCCTTGTTGTTATATTCCAGATATCACGGAGGAGGAGGAGGATGTTATCGAGGGCACACTTCCCGACGTTATGATCCCGCGGCACATGTTTGCCCGTTCGGAACAGTCTGCAGGCACGCCTACACCGGCCGCTCCGGAACTAGTTGTGTGTAAGTTCTATAGCAAAAATCAATGCTCTGGCTTATGCAATACTTAATAATTTTTTCCCGTCCGTCCCTTCTCTAAATACCCCGCCTCATAAGAACTAGGATATTCTGTTTCCCCGACTGGGGTATCCGTTATTGAAGTGATTCAAAAACACATAAGCAGAAATTATTATTTCCATATATTTTTAATTGACAGGAAACCCAGAACCCAGTTCTCGCCATCTACGGGGAACGTACAGGCTACAGTGTTACCCCAAGACCCCGTATTGGCCGAGATAGAATTGGTTGGATTCACACCTTGTTAGTATCATATTAAAGTTCAATTAAAACCTTTTTTTTGACATTTAACTAAAATTTATAAATTTTTCAGCATCTACCACTTCAACAACGGCGCCTGGTTCCGCTAGAAGCGCGTATGAATTGGGTAACTTATTTACATCGAATGTGTCGCTTCTATTTGCTTGTATTCTATGATTTCATTAACATTTCTTCACCTACTTACCCCAGATGTGGACGTCGAGGTAGAGCGGGACTTCGTAGAGCCTGGTGAAGGCAGCGACTTCGACAACGAAGATATTATTCAAGCGAATGACTACCACGATAGTGACGTTTTGCCGGACCCATCGATTGCTAAGGCTTTACAGACTATAGACGCTGAAGCCGACCAAGCCCTTCGAACCGTAATTGAGCCAGCGGACCAAGACCTGCTCTATTTTAATTGGAGATGCGAGCCTGACTACTTCGAGGGTGCCAAGGAAGTTTTTAATGTTCCCTCGGCTGGCCCTACCTTCGATAACCGGGAACCAACTCCCCCAGAAGTGTTCCTAAAAATTTGGGATAACAATATCATCGCCCACATTGTTCGCGAAACGAACCGATATGGTAACGAAATGTTGTTGCGTAGTGAGAAATCCAACACCAGGCTGAGACGCTGGAAAGATGTTACCATAGAGGAGATCAAAACATTTTTAACAATTATAATGCTTCAATCGTTGGTTGTCAACAATGTGGAGCTGGAATATTGGTATCCCAAATTAAATGCATTACAAATAGGGAATTTCAAGGCCATCATGTCCTTCAATCGATTTTTTGTTTATAAAACGCTGTCTACATTTTGTAGATAACAACTCCTTGCCCGTGCATCCCTCCAGATTATACTAAATTATGCCCATAATTGAACACCTTAATAAAAAATTTTGCTCTTTATACCTACTTGAGCAAAATATCGCAATTGATGAGTCGCTCCTTTTATGGAAGGGGCGACTCTCCTTTTCACAAAAAATTGCGACCAAAAAAGCGAGAGTGGGTATAGAGAGCTACGAACTATGTGAGTCGAGGACGGGTTATTTGTGGAGGATGGAGGTTTACTCGGGCAAGGGGCATGTTCATGTTGCGCAGGTGGAGGCACAAGAGTCGATTGCCGAGCATGAGGAAGGGGATGAGCCAGAGAGTGCTACTTCGCAGATTGTGTTCAGTTTGATGTGACCATTGCTCAACCGAGGCCATACACTTGTTATGGATAATTTCTATAACGCGCCGCTGTTGTCTTGAATACTCAAGGCGAAGCATAAAACAGATACGATGAGCACTCTCCGGCTCAACAGGGAGTTTGTTCCCGAGGGTCTTCAAAAAAAAGACCAAGACTAACATGAAAGCGGGCGAGGTCGCTTTCAGCTCTATCAAAGATTTGTGTGTGGTTGTGTGGAAAGACGAAAATTTAGTATCAATGATATCCACATTCCACCCTGTGAAAGTTGGCGGAATTGAGAAGTATGGTTACTATAAATACAAACCCCAAGTTATACTGGACTACAACCTCTCTATGGGCGGCATTGACCATAAAGACCAAATGCTGCAAGCCTACCCCATAGAGAGGGTCAGAAATATAATCTGGTACAAGAAGCTCTTCCGCCGACTTCTCAATGTATCGATACATAATTCCTTTGTTATGTTCAACCACTACCGCACACAAGTCCTTGGTAATCGACAGTTTCGGCTGCAGTTGGCCATGGAATTACTGGAAATGTGCAGACCATCGGTACTTCCTCGGCCATTACCACCAGCGGCACCAGCCCCACCGTCGCAGTTGCATTTGCCTGTTAAGAATGAGCGACCGCAGCTCTGCAAACTGTGTGGAGGTGTAGCACCTGCGCGGTGAATTTGTGCATCGAAGGCTGCTACACTGCATATCACATTAAATAAACGGTCGTCGATAGTCGGTTGCGACTATTGGAAGATTTCCAAAGAAATTTTATATTATTTAGATTTTTTGCTTGAATAATCTGCAATCTTTTTTTTTTCACAAAACGTACTTAAGATATTCCACTATTTTATGCGTGCATTTATAATCCATTTCCAATTAAATTAAAAAAAATTAAAACATTATGAACATATTTACGACCGAATTGAGAAACCTCCTCCTTTTTTGAAGTCGGTTAAAAAACATTAAACAGGTTTAGAAAACTGAGACGTCGCCATCGCTCCTACATTGTTTAGCTCAAACTAGCCTCCTTTTCATAGAAACCCTCTACCGTCTTGCCGGATCACGCGCTCAATGTGTACCAAGCCTTAACGCCCGCAATTTTGTGATACTTTTTTTTGTTTACCTTTGAATACATTTTGCATAACGATCCAATCTACAAGTGTGATATCTTTTTAGAAAGGGTATTAAAAGTACTATTTTGCATAGTAATTGTTCTTTTTGTATTCTATAGTATTTACAACAACAAAATCTGTAAAACAAAGTGATTTCACTGTGTAAATGGGAAGTGTTGTACTAATTTTTATTTTTCTCAGTAACGGTAAAAGCTATCGCCATAATTTTCGTTTATTTTATGAGATTATTAGTCTACTTATGTTGTATATCTTTAGTTTTAGGCCTAATTGGGGTATTTGTGCATCTGTGACATATACAACTTATCTAAAATTACGCTCGTACCGCCAGTTGTTTGGGGAAAATTAAAGAGCTGTAAATAAATGATTTTGTATGGTCTGGTGTATGGTTTTATTTTTTACCCTAATCTATACCGGGTGTTACAAAAATACCCGTTATAGCTGAAGGGTGTTGAAGTATATCATATAAACAGTACTCTGCCAAATTTTCAAAACCTTTGCATTAACTTTTAACTTTCAGTAAAAAGGCTAATTTTTAATAATTAATAAATACATCGAGTGTGCTATGTCACATCACTATTTTAGGTTAATGACCTTACCAGGAGTAATGGCACACTACCTACCTCCTATGTTTTCTATTTTTTTTTTCTATTCTCCTAGTACACACCTACACATACACACTAAGAATGAGAGAGAAAATATACTTAAAAACATGTCTGCGTTTGCCAGTTTACACAGTAAATACTTAACCTATTTCGATCGAAATTAAAATGTAAAGAAAATAAATAGAAATCAAAACATTGGCAAAATGGTATGGTAACCGACGCTGTTCAGCCGGTAGTCTAATTTCAGTAAAATTTTCATAATACATATTATTATCAACACGCACATCATTTCATAGCATCGTTTCCGACTCAGCTGTTTCTGAACTACAGATCAAACACCATTTTAAGTAGTACCTATTTATGGTAGATAGGTAAAATTTATGTAAACACTGATATACGAGTCTAACTTTTAGTTCATACTTTAATGGTCCGACAAATCTGATTGATATTACGATAATTAAAAAAAAATGATATGCGACATAATTCACAACCGATTTTGGCGTATTTAAAAATAAATATTTGCGAATTACTATTTGTACTTTACCTTTTCACTTCCTTAGTCACTGTTTAAGCATTACTTGTGAGGTTCACTCACCTACACTTATATTAGGCACTTAATTTTATTCCACAAGGAAAAAACTAAAGATCGCGGCCAGCCTCTGGTTCACTGACGTTTCAGTATAATTACATCTTTTCAAAATAGTCTCAATTTATATCAATACAACACTGCATCCGATGTAACACTGATAAAAGCACTTTTCATAGTACTTGGAATTAGAGAACACGGATATTTTCGAAACGTGATCATATCGACGACGTATGAACAACTGAATAAAGAAAAAGTGATAAAAGGGAAAGCCGCCAATTGAGTCCTTTATTATAAGCCGCTGCATAGTGTGCGGCATGTCAAAGGCGCACAGAAAGGTACCTATAGTTCCGCAATTAAAATCAGAGAAGTAGCGGGATAGGGTTGCCATCTTCTCTTATTAGATCAGAAATTTTGTCCTTAAAGCCGGAAGTAGACATTTATTTTAGATTGTTCTATATATATATTAAAGTTGACAAATCGAAACCTTAGTGAGTTCTAGCTTTTTGATAGTGACATCTGTTGTTGCAAATATTAATATAATTTATAAACACAAATTAAACATACCGCCCACCATGGACAGAATGTACATCATTCCCGTCCACCATAATACAAAATACAAAAGCAAGTGGACTGTAATAAGTTAATGTTAATAGTTATTTATAATGGTGGTTAAGAATGATAACGAGTAATACAAATAATGTTAATAGAATATAAGCTACCATTGATAAATTATTACAATTAAACAAAATTAGTTACTTGCGATTGAAACAAAAATAATATTAGATGTGATTACATGTTGCTTTTTATTCGCAATAAATAATATTAACTAAAGTTTCTGTTATTTGAGTTAAATCACATATTGTGCAAATCAATAATTCATAACTTAATTCACTATTTACACATGTTCACTGTTGACTACAAAGTAAGTGGTTAAAATCGATACAATAACAAACACATTTAATGTTAGTAGAAAAGAAAATAAACTACAATAAATTAAACATTATATTTCAACAAAATAAGTTGTTCAAATAAAACAAATAGTTGATAAACATAACAAATTTCACGTTCGTGTTCGTTCACGTTTCACCTTTGTGACAAAAAAAAAATAAACAAAACCAATAATTCTTAAATTATTTACATACGGGTAATATACATAATTTTGATATAGGCCGTTTTATCACAGCATCCTTACATTTTACACTTACTACCCTCGTAATGTTGTCCAAACCCTTGTGTTTGTCAGAAATTATACCCATAATCCATCTCGTTGGTGGAAGATTGTCCTCCTTAACGAGAACAACATCACCAATATTTGGTTCAAGTGTTTGGTTAGCCCACTTATAGCGATGCATAAATTGAACTAAATATTCCGTTGACCATCGGCGCCAAAAGTTTTGTAATGTTTTCTGTAATAATTGCCAACGTTTAAGTGAAGAAATAGATGATGCTTCGAAATTTTTGTCTGGAACTGATAAAATAGATTCGCCTATTAAAAAAT